TTTGCCGAGCAAGATGCTCGGCGCAAGCGTGTGAATGGGCGAAGAGTGCGTTCTCTGGGTCTTCCGCTCAGGCTGAGAAATGTGGCTTCGAGGGAGAGGAAGGACTTGTGAAACTCTTGTCTCACTGAACACCCACAACAAGATGCACTTTGGACGTGTTGTCCAGAGAGACCAGTCCCTGGAGAAAGACACCATGCGTGGAAAAGCAGGGGGCGTGAAGAAGAGGAAGGCTCAGGACAAGATGGACTGACACCGTGACTGGTGGGCTCAAGCATCAGAACAAGCGTGAGGCTGGCCCAGGACCGGGCAGTGTCTCCCTCTGTGGGACAGAGTGTCGCTGTGGGTCAGAGCTGACTTGATGGCGCCTACCAACAGCATCCTTGGGAAAGTTCTGAATGTGGGTGAAAAAAAGAACCCACAGCCATTGAGTAATTCCAAGTCATGGCCACGTTCTAGGACAAAGCAGAACTTCTCTTAGGGTAAGGGGACCAGACATCCCGCTTTTGGTGGGACAGTCCCAATTTTTGGCGTTTTAAAAAAGGCCCGATTTAAAAAATAAAATAAATAAATAAAAAAGTCCCGATATTTTGAAAGAATGCACGACAAGCTAGGGAACGGTCTATTTGGTCCATATAGACCACCTTTTTAATCAAGAACACCCCCTCACACACACCCCTCCACCCCATCCCCCACCCCACCACCAATGGTGTCCCGCTTTAAATCTGGTCACCTTATCTTAGGGTTTCTGAGATTCACCAATTTTCTCTGTGTATTCTTTAGATTCTTACACCCTGTAAAGATTTCATAGGCTATTTAAAACTCAGAAAACTCATTGCCATTGAGTTGATTTCGACTCATGGCAACTTGATAAGACAGGGTAGAACTTCCCTGGTGGGTTTTTGAGACCGTATGGTAGTTACATACTCTGGTGTCTACTTGTAAAGGGGTGGAGTCTAGCCTGTCAATCAGGTCGCAGTTTGATGACCTCATTTGGAGGCGCAATGGAGATAAATAAGCTCGCTGGAGGTGGGACACATATACACTCCCTGCAAGACACTCCTGTTGAAAAGATACATGGAGCTACGCTAGATCCTGGGAGTTGGAGGAGCCACACGGAGACCCCTGCCAGCGCTGAGATGCCTCTACCGCCACTGGATCCACAAGACTTTCTACTCCCTGGCCTGTGATCTCCCTGCACTCGACATCATTGCATGGGTTGCATGAGTCTGAAGAGGAATTTATAGATTGGTATTGGACATATGGGCTAATATCAGACTTATGGACTTGATCTGGACTGGGCTGGGACATTTTCTTAATATGCAATTACTCTTTGATATAAAGTTTTCTCTTACACACATATGAGTGTCTATGAATGTGTTTCTCTAGTCAACCCAGACTAACACAGACTCTAACTCTTTACGGGACTAGAAAGCCCCGTCTTTCTCCCACAGAGCAGAGCGGCCAGTGGTTTTGAACTGCTGACCTTGCAATGAGCAGCCCAACGCATACCCAGTATACCACCTGGGCTCCTCAGCTTAGTTAAAGTGGGGCCTCATCTGGAGGACCCAGGGTTTCCAGGACCCTGCCGGAGAGTGGTCCTCATTCAATACCAGCCTTTGCCTCCTGAACCTGACTCTTCCTAGCTTCCAGCCTGCCGGAGGATGGGTGCACTGGGTCCCATCTAGGATGCGCTGGACAAGGACGTTACCAGGAGAGAGGAAGGCAGTAGGTCATGCCACCACTCACTTTGGTTCAACCCTGGTGGCGTTCTCAGAATATCTGATGTTTGGCGAGTTGTTGTTGAGAGAGAAGCAGATATCGTCGATGGTCAGGGCTGTGAACTTGTCCCTCAGGTCCTTTTCAAGGTTGTACTTGGCAGAACGGTTCAGCCTGAAAGGAGAAGGTCAACTCTAGGATCCTCAAGTAGCACCGATACATTGTTGGGAGACCTTGGAAAATGAACCGAAAAATGAACCTAGTCCAGGATGGTGGCACTGCCGTCCCTCCTTCCCATCACCTCCGGGCACACGTAAGCCAACCAGACGCTTAGTAACAAATGAATGTGACTGGACCCTGACTTCAAGAGCCTCCCCTTGAACTGCGACCTTTTCTGAGGTCACCAGGATAGCTCGGGCAGGAGACAGCTCCAACATTCTCCAGTTTGCAATCAGGGGTGACAT